ACTTCTCCCAACCAGCTTAAAAGTCGCTACGAATCTTAACATCGTTCATTGAAGCTCTGTCGTCCCGACAGGTCTGTACCTTTCACCTGAAGACGGCCGCTTGCGTTGTGGCCAAAACGTCGTGAGAATTTTATTGTTATTTAATTTTTTATTCTCATTCTACTTGACTTTACCGAAAGAACCAAAGAAATTCAGAGAGCTGTTTATAAAGGTTTAGAGATGGGCAGGGCAGCTATTGTTAATGTGGGAGGGGTCTCTGACAAGGTGCAGTAGGTCTACACCAATCAGAGAGCTGTTTATAAAGGTTTAGAGATGGGCGGGGCAGCTAATGTTAATGTGGGAGAGGGCTCTGACACGGGCAGTAGGTCTACACCAATCAGAGAGCTGTTTATAAAGGTTTAGAGATGGGCGGGGCAGCTGTTAATGTGGGAGAGTGCTCCGACACGGGCAGGAGGTCTACACCAATCAGAGAGCTGTTTATAAAGGTTTAGAGATGGGCGGGGCAGCTAATGTTAATGTGGGAGAGGGCTCTGACAAGGTGCAGTAGGTCTACACCAATCAGAGAGCTGTTTATAAAGGTTTAGAGATGGGGGCGGGGCAGTAGGTCTACATCAAAGCATTGCACCTCGCTGTACACGCCCACACTGCTGACGGTGGAGGTGAACTAGAAAAAATAATTCAAGTCGTGACCCCAAGTGGTTGATGAAATCTTTCCAATGATTGCCGAGTTTAAAACCGTCGTCTCCGTGGAAGTTGTGTCTGTATACATGGATGGCTTCGTGAACGAATCTTTGTTGATAGCCAGTGGGCTTGCAAAGTACCTCCGTCTTGGAGATATCAATTTCATGTTAGCCAGCCGCATTAAAGTAATGATCAGCCAACGGCAGAAGCGTTGGTCCTGCCGTGTTTCAGATCTGCCGTGTGTTCACGAACGCGGTCCGAGACACGTCGCTTAGTTTCCCCGGTGTAACTGCTGCCGCAGACACAGCTCATAGACGCCGGTGTATTGCGTGTCAGGGATCACGTCCTTCACAGACGGGATCAGGTCAAGGCACAACAACAACAACAACTCGAAATGAACACGTGTAGTGTATAGTGAACATGTTTATTCATCTCCCGTGTGTCTGAATCACCCGTCGTCACTGAACCCCCTCCTGGACATCAAAGAGCTTTACAGCTCATGGGATTTCCCTCCTCCCGCATGAGACGCACCAAGACACGCCGTCATGCCAAGCCGTGCTCTCTGCGCCGTTGGCATAAGCGAGAACGCGATCCCAATGTGGCTAAGGGCCCCCAGCAACTACAACCCCGAACACCGCGACCAACCGGGGACCCCGTCACGCCCGCTCAGCTGCGCGTGACGTCGGAACCCGTGGAAGCGGACATCAGAGAGCTGCCTCTGAGCCCCCTTCTATAAGTGACGCTTGAATGTAGCCAACAGAAGTGGACGTCACAGAGCTACCACTGAGCCACCTTCTATAAGTGACTCTTGAATGTAGCCCACAGAAGTGGACATCACAGAGCTACTGCTGAGCCACCTTCTATAAGTGACGCTTGAATGTAGCCCACAGAAGTGGACATCACAGAGCTACTGCTGAGCCACCTTCTATAAGTGATGCTTGAATGTAGCCCACAGAAGTGGACGTCACAGAGCTACCGCTGAGTCCCCTTCTATAAGTGACTGTTGAATGTAGCCCACAGAAGTGGACATCACAGAGCTACTGCTGAGCAACCTTCTATAAGTGACGCTTGAATGGATCCCACAGAAGTGGACATCACAGAGCTACCGCTGAGCCCCCTTCTATAAGTGACGCTTGAATGGAACCCACAGAAGTGGACATCACAGAGCTGCCGCTGAGCCACCTTCTATAAGTGACGCTTGAATGTAACCCACAGAAGTGGTCATCACAGAGCTACTGCTGAGCCCCCTTCTATAAGTGACGCTTGAATGTAGCCCACAGAATTGGACATCACAGAGCTACCACTGTGCCACCTTCTATAAGTGATGCTTGAATGTAGCTCACAGAAGTGGACATCACAGAGCTACTGCTGAGCCCCCTTCTATAAGTGACGCTTGAATGTAACCCACAGAAGTGGACATCACAGAGCTACTGCTGAGCCCCCTTCTATAAGTGACTCTTGAATGGAACCCACAGAAGTGGACATCACAGAGCTACTGCTGAGCCCCCTTCTGGGACGCTTGAATGTAGCCCACAGAAGTGGACATCACAGAGCTACTGCTGAGCCCCCTTCTGGGACGCTTGAATGTAGCCCACAGAAGTGGACATCACAGAGCTACCTCTGATCCACCTTCTCTAAGTGACGCTTGAATGGAACCCACAGAAGTGGATGTGACAGAGCTACCGCTGAGCATGCTGGGTAAATTGCGTGGCAGCAGTCAAACCGAGAGTTTAATTCTCGAGAGCAAAGCATAATCAAGTGCATTGTGGGTAATAGCGAGTGGCGAGTACAGAACTCCCCCTCCCCCCCGGTTGCAATACTTGACCCTGATTGGTCCACGGCATTTGGGGTCGTAGCTAAGCAGACCCCGATTGGTCGTCGAGTTTTCCGGGGTGCGGTAACGGAGTCGTTGATTGGTCGGAGTTTGGGGCAGTTGTGACGGGGACCGTGATTGGGAGCCGAGTATACGGGGCTTAGCAACAGGGATCCTGATTGGTCGCGGTGTACGGGGAGTAGTAACGGTGTCTCTGGTTGGTCACGGTGTTCGGGTGTTGCAGTAACGGTGTCTCTGATTGGTCACAGTGTTCCGAGTTGTAGTAACGGGGTCCCTGGTTGGTCGCGGTGTTCGGGGTTGTAGTAACGGTGTCTCTGGTTGGTCGCGGTGTTCGGGGTTGTAGTAACGGTGTCTCTGATTGGTCGCGGTGTTCGGGGTTGTAGTAACGGTGTCTCTGGTTGGTCGCGGTGTTCGGGGTTATAGTAACGGTGTCTCTGATTGGTCGCGGTGTTCGGGGTTGTAGTTACGGTGTCTCTGGTTGGTCGCGGTGTTCGGGGTTGTAATAACGGTGTCTCTGATTGGTCGCGGTGTTCGGGGTTATAGTAACGGTGTCTCTGGTTGGTCGCGGTGTTCGGGGTTGTAGTAACGGGGTCTCTGATTGGTCGCGGTGTTCGGGGTTGTAGTAACGGTGTCTATGGTTGGCCGCGGTGTTCGGGGTTGTAGTAACGGGGTCTCTGATTGGTCGGGGTGTTCGGGGTTGTAGTAACGGTGTCTCTGGTTGGTCGCGGTGTTCGGGGTTGTAGTAACAGGGTCTCTGGTTGGTCGCGGTGTTCGGGGTTGTAGTAACAGGGTCTCTGGTTGGTCGCGGTGTTCGGGGTTGTAGTAACGGTGTCTCTGATTGGTCGCGGTGTTCGGGGTTGTAGTAACGGTGTCTCTGGTTGGTCACGGTGTTCGGGGTTGCAGTAACGGTGTCTCTGATTGGTCACAGTGTTCCGAGTTGTAGTAACGGGGTCTCTGGTTGGTCGCGGTGTTCGGGGTTGTAGTAACGGTGTCTCTGGTTGGTCGCGGTGTTCGGGGTTATAGTAACGGTGTCTCTGATTGGTCGCGGTGTTCGGGGTTGTAGTTACGGTGTCTCTGGTTGGTCGCGGTGTTCGGGGTTGTAATAACGGTGTCTCTGATTGGTCGCGATGTTCGGGGTTATAGTAACGGTGTCTCTGGTTGGTCGCGGTGTTCGGGGTTGTAGTAACGGGGTCTCTGATTGGTCGCGGTGTTCGGGGTTGTAGTAACGGTGTCTATGGTTGGCCGCGGTGTTCGGGGTTGTAGTAACGGGGTCTCTGATTGGTCGCGGTGTTCGGGGTTGTAGTAACGGTGTCTCTGGTTGGTCGCGGTGTTCGGGGTTGTAGTAACGGGGTCTCTGATTGGTCGCGGTGTTCGGGGTTGTAGTAACGGTGTCTATGGTTGGCCGCGGTGTTCGGGGTTGTAGTAACGGGGTCTCTGATTGGTCGCGGTGTTCGGGGTTGTAGTAACGGTGTCTCTGGTTGGTCGCGGTGTTCGGGGTTGTAGTAACAGGGTCTCTGGTTGGTCGCGGTGTTCGGGGTTGTAGTAACAGGGTCTCTGGTTGGTCGCGGTGTTCGGGGTTGTAGTAACGGTGTCTCTGATTGGTCGCGGTGTTCGGGGTTGTAGTAACGGTGTCTCTGGTTGGTCACGGTGTTCGGGGTTGCAGTAACGGTGTCTCTGATTGGTCACAGTCTTCCGAGTTGTAGTAACGGGGTCCCTGATTGGTCGCGGTGTTCGGGGTTGTAGTAACGGTGTCTCTGGTTGGTCGCGGTGTTCGGGGTTGTAGTAACAGGGTCTCTGGTTGGTCGCGGTGTTCGGGGTTGTAGTAACAGGGTCTCTGGTTGGTCGCGGTGTTCGGGGTTGTAGTAACGGTGTCTCTGATTGATCGCCGTGTTCGGGGTTGTAGTAACGGTGTCTCTGGTTGGTCACGGTGTTCGGGGTTGCAGTAACGCTGTCTCTGATTGGTCACGGTGTTCCGAGTTGTAGTAACGGGGTCTCTGGTTGGTCGCGGTGTTCGGGGTTGTAGTAACGGTGTCTCTGGTTGGTCGCGGTGTTCGGGGTTGTAGTAACAGGGTCTCTGGTTGGTCGCGGTGTTCGGGGTTGTAGTAACGGTGTCTCTGATTGGTCGCGGTGTTCGGGGTTGTAGTAACGGTGTCTCTGATTGGTCGCGGTGTTCGGGGTTGTAGTAACGGTGTCTCTGGTTGGTCGCGGTGTTCGGGGTTGTAGTAACGGTGTCTCTGATTGGTCGCGGTGTTCGGGGTTGTAGTTACGGTGTCTCTGGTTGGTCGCGGTGTTCGGGGTTGTAGTAACGGTGTCTCTGATTGGTCGCGGTGTTCGGGGTTATAGTAACGTTATCTCTGGTTGGTCGCGGTGTTCGGGGTTGTAGTAACGTTATCTCTGGTTGGTCGCGGTGTTCGGGGTTGTAGTAACGGGGTCTCTGATTGGTCGCGGTGTTCGGGGTTCTAGTAACGGTGTCTCTGGTTGGCCGCGGTGTTCGGGGTTGTAGTAACGGGGTCTCTGGTTGGTCGCGGTGTTCGGGGTTGTAGTAACGGGGTCTCTAATTGGTCGCGGTGTTCAGGGTTGTAGTAACGGGGTCCCTGGTTGGTCGCGGTGTTCGGGGTTGTAGTAACGGTGTCTCTGGTTGGCCGCGGTGTTCGGGGTTGTAGTAACGGGGTCTCTGATTGGTCGCGGTGTTCGGGGTTGTAGTAACGGTGTCTCTGGTTGGCCGCGGTGTTCGGGGTTGAAGTAACGGGGTCTCTAATTGGTCGCGGTGTTCGGAGTTGTAGTAACGGGGTCCCTGGTTGGTCGCGGTGTTCGGGGTTGTAGTAACGGTGTCTCTGATTGGTCGCGGTGTTCGGGGTTGTAGTAACGGTGTCTCTGGTTGGTCGCGGTGTTCGAGGTTGTAGTAACGGTGTCTCTGGTTGGTCGCGGTGTTCGGGGTTGTAGTAACGGTGTCTCTGGTTGGCCGCGGTGTTCGGGGTTGTAGTAACGGTGTTTCTGATTGGTCGCGGTGTTCAGCGTTGTAGTAACGGGGTCTCTAATTGGTCGCGGTGTTCGGGGTTGTAGTAACAGGGTCTCTAATTGGTCGCGGTGTTCGGGGTTGTAGTAACGGGGTCCCTGGTTGGTCGCGGTGTTCGGGGTTGTAGTAACGGTGTCTGATTGGTCACGGTGTTCGGGGTTGTAGTAACGGTGTCTCTGGTTGGCAGCGGTGTTCGGGGTTGTAGTAACGGTATCTCTGGTTGGTCGCGGTGTTCGGGGTTGTAGTAACGGTGTCTCTGGTTGGTCGCGGTGTTCGGGGTTGTAGTAACGGTGTCTCTGGTTGGTCGCGGTGTTCGGCGTTGTAGTAACGGTGTCTCTGGTTGGTCGCGTTGTTCGGGGTTGTAGTTACGGTGTCTCTGGTTGGTCGCGGTGTTCGGGGTTGTAGTAACGGTGTCTCTGATTGGTCGCGGTGTTCGGGGTTGTAGTAACGGTGTCTCTGATTGGTCGCGGTGTTCGGGGTTGTAGTAACGGTGTCTCTGGTTGGTCGCGGTGTTCGGGGTTGTAGTAACGGTGTCTCTGGTTGGTCGCGGTGTTCGGGGTTGTAGTAACGGTGTCTCTGATTGGTCGCGGTGTTCGGGGTTGTAGTAACGGTGTCTCTGATTGGTCGCGGTGTTCGGCGTTGTAGTAAGGGTCACATGCGCTGCACGGGCGTGAGTCCCAGGATGTGGAAGCAAGTCTCCATCACCATGGCGGTGGCCTCACACAGCAGCAGGCGGCTCATGTTCACCTTCACCACCTCACCTGGTGAGCAATGGCGGGCAGGGGACGGGGGGGTGAGAGTCGGTGAGTTGGTGGGTGGGTGGGTGGGTGAGTTGGTGGGTGAGTGGGTGAGTGGGTGGGTGAGTGGGTGAGTTGGTGGGTGAGTGGGTGAGTTGGTGGGTGAGTGGGTGAGTGAGTGAGTGGGTGGGTGAGTGAGTGGGTGAGCGAGTGAGTGGGCGAGCGAGTGAGTGGGCGAGTGAGTGCGTGGGTGGTGTGGGTGGGTGGTGTGGGTGGGTGAGTGACACGGGCTAGAAATGAGGTGGGCTGATGTGGTACAAGAGGATGTGGAGTACTTGTTAACCCACTCCCTCACTCACCCACCCACCCACTCACTCACTCACCCACCCACTCACTCACTCACTCACCCACTCACCCACCCACTCACCCACTCACCCACCCACTCACCCACTCACCCACTCACCCACCCACTCACCCACCCACCCACTCACCCACCCACCCACTCACCCACCCACCCACTCAATCACCCACTCACACCACCCACACCACCACCTCCACCACCACCATCTCCACCTCCACCACCACCCCCACCACCACCACCCACTCCACCACCACCCACACCACCCACACCACCACCACCCACACCACCACCTCCACCACCCACACCACCACCTCCACCTCCACCACCTCCACCACCACCACCTCCACCACCACCACCACCACCTCCACCACGTACCGGTGCTGCGGTCCTTCTCCACGCAGTAGCAGGCGTCGTAGAAGTCGGTGAAGGTGCCTGCGAGCTCGTACAGGAAGTCGCACAGCGTGTGCAGCTGCAGGTCGTCCGCCGTCCGGGCCAGCACCTCGGGCAGGCGCAGGATGGCACGGGCCAGCCGGCGCTCGCTGGCGTGGCCCAGAGCCACGCCGCCAACTCTGCGAGCCTCGGAGCGCAGCTGAGCCGGGTCCACGTGAGCCACTCGCGCTATCGAGCTGATGGTGGGTGGGGGGAGGGGGGCAGGTGAAGAGCTTTATAGCTCATCGGATTTGCTCCTCCGGCATGGATGCAGTGTCGGAGTGTGAGATGGGCGGGGGGGGGGGATGGAGAGATGGGAGGTGTGTGTCTGTGTGTGTGTCAGTGTGTGTGTGAGTGTGTGTGTGTGAGTGTGTGTGTCTGTGTGTGTGTATGTGTGTGTGTGTCTGTGTGTGTGTCTGTGTGTGTGAGTGTGTGTGTGTGAGTGTGTGTCTGTGTGTGTGTGTGAGTGTGTGTGTCTGTGTGTGTGTCTGTGTGTGTGTACGTGTGTGTGTAAGCGTGTGTATGTGTGTGTGTATGTGTGTATGTGTGTGTGTATGTAAGTGTGTGTGTCTTTGTATCTTTTGTGTCTCTGTGTGTGTGTAAGTATGTGTGTATGTGTGTGTGTAAATGTGTGTATAAGTGTGGGTATAAGTGTGTGTATAAGTGTGTGTGTGTGTCTGTGTGTGTGTATAAGTGTGTATAAGTGTGTGTGTCTCTGTGTGTGTGTGTAAGCGTGTGTGTGTGTGTATGTGTGTGTGTATGTGTGTGTGTAAGTGTGTAAGCGTGTGTGTGTGTATGTGTGTGTCTCTGTGTGTGTGTAAGTGTGTAAGTATGTGTGTGTATGTGTGTGTATGTGTCTGTGTGTGTAAGTTTGTAAGTATGTGTGTGTATAAGTGTGTGTGTCTCTGTGTGTGTGTGTACGCGTGTGTATGTGTGTGTGTGTGTTCACCGTATGCGAGTGTACGCGTAGAGCAGGTACACGGCGGTGTTGCCGCGGTCATCCAGCATCTTGGCGAATGAGAAGACGTAGTCGTTGGTGCGGCTGTGGGCCAGGTCGGCGTACTTGATGCAGCCAAACGCCACCGCACGCCGGGCAGCCTCCAGCTCCTCCGGCGTCAGCACCTGCACCACACACACCACACACACACCACACACACACACCACACACACCACACACACACCACACACACCGCACACACCAGACACACACACCACACACACCACACACACCACACACACCACACACAGACCACACACACACCGCACACACACACCACACACCACACACACCACACACCACACCACACACACCAGACACACACACCACACACACACCACACACACACCACACACACGACACACCACACACACCACACACACACACCACACCACACACACACCACACACACCACACACCCAGCACACCCAGCACACACACCACACACACCACACACACACCACACACCACACAGCACACACACCACACACACCACACAGCACACACACCACACACCGCACACACCACACACACCACACACCCACCACACACCACACACACACACCAGAAACACACCACACCACACACATCACACCACACACACCACACACACACCACACACACACACCGCACACACACCGCACACACACCGCACACACCACACACCACACACACCACACACACACCACACCACACAAACACACACCACACCACACACACCACACACACACACCACACACACACACCACAAACACACCACACAGCACACACCACACACACACCACACAGCACACACACCACACACACACCACACACACACCACACACCACACACCACACACACACCACACACCACACACAAACCACACACACACCACACACACACACAGACCACACACACACCGCACACACACACCGCACACACACACCACACACCACACACAGACCACACACACACCGCACACACCACACACACACACCACACACCACACACACCACACACACCACACACACCACACACACACACCGCACACACCGCACACACCACACACACCACACACACACACCACACACACCGACAGAGGAGGTGTTCAAGCTGGCTGAGAAAAAGCGACAGGCCCACTCTCATCGGCTACAGCATCCCACGTCAGAGAATGAGGAGGCTTACCGCAGCCTTCGCTCGGAGGTTCGGAGAGCCGTGAGGCGCTGCAAGGATGGGTGGTGGTCGCGGGTTGTTGAGGAGATGGAGTATGCCTCAGTGGCTCGTGATCACAAATTTCTATTTAACTCCATCAAAAAAGTAACCTGCAGCGCCACACCTATTACCATCATTAGGGGAAAGAACGGTGATCCAATCTCCGACCCCCAGGAACAGGTTTGCAGATTTGCTGAGCATTTCTGTGAGTTCTTGGGGGAGGGGAAATCCCTCAGCCATGAAAACATCGTGGCACAAAGTGAGGATGACCCTGCTGAGGCTGCAGTGCCTCAAATATTGGAGGAAGTCACCCCCTGTGAGTGGCTGGCTGAGGTGCCATCTGTTGAGGAAGTACTGAAGGCAATCCGGAGTCTGAGACCTGGAAAGGCACTGGGCAGAGATGATCTCCCAAGCGAAATGCTGAGGGAGGGTGGTGTTTGTGCGCAGACTGCCCTACATGACATCATAACAACAGTCTGGACCACTGGACGGGTTCCGCAGGATTGGAAGGATGCCCTGGTGGTCCCCCTCTTTAGGAAGGGAGTCCGCACAGACTGTAACAACTACAGGGGCATCTCACTCCTCAGTGTGCCGGGAAAGGTCCTGGCAAGGATTATTCAACATCGCCTTGCCAGGCACGCTGAGGAGAGGCTTGCGGAGCCCCAATGCGGTTTCAGGAAAGGGCGGTCCTGCACAGATGCCACATTTTCTGTCTGTCTGCTACAGCAGAGGTGTAGGGAATTCCAGCAAGACCTACATCACTGCTTTATTGACCTGATCAAGGCCTATGATACCATCAGTAGGCCTGGACTCTGGGTTGTTCTTCGTGCTTTTGGAGTACCTGACCCTCTGCTCACGATCATTAAGGACCTTCATGATGGTGAACGGGCCCGGTTAAAACTACGTGGCCGGGATTCAGAGCCATTCCCTGTATACCTTGGGGTGCGACAGGGATGTCCTCTGGCTCCCACATTATTTAACATCTATTTTGACCACGTAGTTCCTGAAGCCTTCAATAGCTGTACCGGGGGAATCTCCATATGATACAGATATA